CTTCGCCTCCCTCCCCCTCCTTATGTTGCATCCTCGGGGGACCTTGTCTGTCCCGTCGCGGCCCTGTCCGCGTCGAATCCGTGTCGAATCCATGTCGGACGCGTCGGATCCGTGTCGAATCCGTGTCGAATCCGTGTCGAGTCCGCATCGAGCACGCGTTGGGCCCCCAAAAAGACACCAATTGTTGGGACGGGCGAGGTCCCCCGAAGATGCAACAGCCCCCTCCCTCGCGCCGGTTCCTCCACTCCGACGTCGCCGATGCATCGCCGATGCAGCGGCGATGCTGCCCGATCCGCAAAGCCCTCATACACTGGAGCCCAGTCGGGAGGCCTCTAAGGGAGAAGAAGAAGAAGAAGAAGATCAATGCCAATTTCCCCAAGTTCCACAAAGGAAGAGGAAGAAGAAGAAGATCCCTCCCAAGAAGAAGAATGTCCCTGAAGAAGAGGAAGAAGAAGAAGAAGATCCCAGACTTCTCAAGAGGCTGCCAAGTTCCCCACAAGGTCTCGAAGGCCCCCCGGGAGTCTGGAGGAGGCTAAGACACGCTAGAACCAAGCATGTTAGCCAGCGCGGTCCCCGAACAAGCGATTCCCTGCACCCTATGCGGCGCATGCTGGGTGGTGCGACCAATGTGGTGCAATCCAGGTGGTAGAATCCATGTGGTGCAATCGATATGAGGCATGCGAGGTAATGCAAAGCAGCGCAAGGCAATGCAAAGGCAATGAAAAGCTATGTAAAGCACCGCAAAGCAATGCAAAGACGTGCGGAGGAATGCCAAGCAGCGCAAAACAATGCAAAGCATTGCAACGCAATGCAAAATAATTCATGCCAAGCAATGCCAAGCAATGCAACACCAGGAAATGCAAAGCACTGCAAGGCCATGCAAACAAAGCCATAAAAACAATGCAAAGCAATGCAACACGGTGCAAATAAAAGCAAAGCAAAGCAAAGTAAAGCCATATAAAGCGACGCAAAGAAATGCAAAACACTGCAGAACAATTCAAAGCAACCGCACGCAATATAAATCAACGCAACGCACAGAGCAATGCAGAACAATGCAACACAATATAAAGCAATGCAAAGCCATGTAAGGCAATGCAAAGGCAATGCAAAGGCAATGGAAATCACACAACACGCAAAACACGCAAATGCTAAGCAATGCACCCCGATGCAAATGAACGCAAGGCAATGAACATCAATATAAAGCAACGCCAAGGAATGCAAAGCAAAGCACTGCGAGGCAATGCAAAGCAATGTGAAGCGGCGCAACGTAATGCAACTCAATGCAAAGCAATGCAAAGCAATGCAAAGCCATGCAAATGCAATGCAAAGCAATCCAAAGCATTTCATGCGACGCGAAGCCGTGCTGAGCAACGAGACGCAGCGCGCAGCAGCGCGACGCAGCGCGAGGCAAGGCACCTCACTGCAACACAATTGGACGCCCGAGTTATCCGGGGTAACTCGGGTCCGGGGTAACTCGGGTTTGGATTCCCGAAAAAGGAACCCGAGTTAGCCCTGACCCGAGTTACCCCTGATGATGTGGGGCTCTGGACGCCCAAATTATCCGGGGTAACTCGGGTCCAGGGTAACTCGGGTTCGGACTCCCGAAAAACGAACCCGAGTTAACCCTGACCCGAGTTACCCCGGATGAATCGAGGCTCTGACACAGTGCCCAGAGCAGAGCAAAGCAGTGCCGATCCAGAGCGCAACGCGACAGCCACGCAACGCAACGCGACTACAATCGCACTGCACCGGCGGCGGCGAGGGGCGGCGACGAACCGGTCGCACCGCCACTGGGGCCCAGCTGCCCAGAGCAGAAGCAAGCACCCCTCGGTGCAAGCAGTGTTTGGGGAAATCACTTCCTCGATCCTCTTCTCTTCTCTTCTCTTCTCTTCTCTTCTCTTCTCTTCTCTTCTCTTCTCTTCTCTTCTCTTCTCTTCTCGAGGAAGACGAAGCAACTTCGCGATCCTCTTCGAAGCGCCATCGAAAACGGGATCGAAAATCCTCCCCTCGTTCTCCTCCCTGCTCCAGAGTCGCGACCGACCCCCCTCCAGGCGTTTCCCTGGACAGCTGCCTGCATACCACTCAGGATCGCGCACAGCTGCTTCATCTGCAGGGCGAGCTTTCGAGGCGCGCTGATCTTCACCGACGTAGCGTTGTCCATGTGGTCCGTGTAGTGCGACACGTGCATCGTTGCGTCGATCAGCCGGAGATATTTTCGCTCGTCGTACCTCCAGGACGTTTTGCCGTTTTCGCCCTGCTTGGGCCTCTTTCCGCGTCTTCGTGGCCACGGCTGGGCGCAGCTGTAGAAGCTGGCCGGTGTGGACCCCACGGCGGGAGGTCGGGGACTGGCTGTGCCGGGGTTGGGGGAAGGGGGCCCCGCGGCACGTGAGCCGCATGGGGACGAACTTTGCCCGCTCGTAGAAGTCGATATCCTCACCCTGGCTCACGTCCTGCAGCGAACAGAGACTCGGCGGCGAACAAAGGGGGGAAGAGAGATGGAGAAGGCCCTCTCGGAAAGCGGCGGGGCATCTCAGAAGCCCTGCGGCCTCCTGAGAAGTGGTCTGCTTCTCTCCGGGGAAGGCTTGGAAAACTTCTCAGAAGGCCGCCGAGCGACAACTAGAGACTGGGCTATCCAGGGGCGGGGGAGGTGACGGTCGATAACCTAACCGTTTCGCTTGGGGCAGCCTCACGTATGCCCGCGCGCACCAATACTGCGCGCTCCCTTCTGGACCTGCGCAACGGACGAGGTCAGGTTATCTGGGGGGGGGGGGGGGGGCGGGCGGCCCGATAACCCGGGTAATCGCGGGACCCGAAAACAGAGCCGCCTATCCGATGGAGGTCGCATTTGCCATGATGTTCCCAGATTGCCAAGGGGCGGGTGCTGTCAGACCGAAGCCGTAAGAAGACGCAGAGCCATGAAACATGATGCCATGTCCCCCATCCGCCGTGTCTACACCACGGTTGCTGCCAGGGTTACAGCAAAATCCTACCTTGACGTGGACCCTGGAAGGGTTGTGACGCCACTTGGACCTTTCAATATTCAACGATCTCCGCTGTCAAAGGTCGTACCTGGCTGTCCGCCCTATCCTGCACCGCGAACTGCTTTCTGTGGCACCCGAGGCCCAAAATGGGCCCCCGACAGGTGTTCAACCTAGAACGCCCGGAATGGCATCACTGCCGTTAGGTCGGGCCTGTCCCCCTACAGGGGGATTTTGGACGAAAAATCAAAAATACCCTGAAAATGCTCCCAAAATGCTCGAACATTCTCAAAAATTAGCGCCCATATTATTTTTTGACTATTCTTGAATATTCTTACCAGCCTGGAACATATCCCTATCCCTATGCTGGGCACCTCCTCATCACGATGCCAATTTTAGGGATTCCCTTATTTTTTGAGGGCGAATCCCTGAGATTGTCATCGCCTTTTGGCGCGTCAATCTCAGGGATGGGGATACGTTCGAGGCTGGTGATACTCCTCCTGCAGGGGGACAGGCCCGACCTAAACACTGCCGCGGCGAGGCAGCACCAACTGGCCGCAGGCGAAGGGCAGCCGTGTGTGGACCTGCGCTCGGGGCACCCGTGCCCGGCGTGCCGCTGCGGCAGCCCCCCGGCGCTGCGCCGTGCCCTGCGAGGCGACAGCGTGCCGCTCTGCTCCGCGGGGGGCAGGAAGGACGACCTGCCGGACCACCCCAACCCAACCCGAAGACCCGAATTTCGGGCTGGGGGGGTAAGGGTTCCACATGCGTGTTTTCGATGTTTCCCGCCCCCCCCCACTGGAAATCGAGGGTCAATCTGAGCCTTCGGGTTGGGTTGGGGTGGTTTGGTGGGTAGTGAAGGAAGCCTCGGGAGCCGCTCCCGTCAAACAAAGACAGGGGGGGTCCAAGAGGGGGGGCGCTGCAAAGTTCTATGGCCGGCGGCTCTAGCCCAAATTGTGCCGCGCACCCGGCCCAGGGGGGGGGGCAGACTCGAGACTAGAGACGCCAACGAGAGGAAGAAGACACCGGACGCCAGTGAAGGAAATCTGAGGACCAAAGCGAGGGCCCACGCCCTGAAAAATCCCCCCCCCCCCCACCCCCCCCCCCACCCTCCCCACCCCACCCCCCCCCCCCCCCCCCCCCCCCTCTCCCCCCCATTCCCCCCCCCCCCCCAGGCATCACCCCCCTCTCTGCCGCCCCCGAAAGGCTGGGAGGAGCTCCGGGCGTGGACGCTCGGGGGCCGGAGCGCGGACGGCGTGCCGCGCCGAAGGACTGGCGGAGCGATACGCCGGTCCAGAATTCCCGACCGTGGGCTCCATGTGTGAAGGGGCCCTGGGACACACTAATAAATACACGCAAATAAAATGATCCCCCATATTTTCCCATATTTTCTGGGTTTTTGTCTTCCCCCCCACTTCCCATAGTTTCCCATATTTTCCTGGGAGTCGACGGTTAACTGTGTCTGTGTGTTGTTTCCCCTCCTGAGTGTTCTTGTGAAGCCACCCCATCCGCCGAAAGACTCACCAGACCAGCATGAGCCAGAAGCTGGCACACGCTCTGCTGCACGCCACCACTGCCCAGAGCACCCCGAAGTCCAACGGCCTCCTCAGTCTCCCGGTCCTGCCTCCTTTTCCAAGAGCAAGCCCTACCCCCCCGAAGGAGGGTGGAGTGTGGCGGCGTGAAAGAGAAGCCCAGCAGGGCGGGGCTGCAAAGCACACAGCTCCACATCATGCCGCATTGTCAGCGACCTACGTGAAAGCTGCCAGGAAAAGTGCCCTTCACGAGCGTAAAGCCCCTCAAAGGATCCGGTCCCTCACCATCTCCTCTCCTCCTTCTGCTCCCTCTTGTCCTCGTCCTCCTTCCAATCCCCCGCAACTCCCCATTCTGGTCCTCATCGACCGTTTCCAACTCATGCTCATCCTCCGCTCGATCCGCCTCTCCCTCTCGTCCTTCTCCTCTTCATCCTCCTCCTCCTCCTTCCCTTCTTTCTCTTCCCCATCCTATTAATCCTCTGTCTCCCCCTCCCCTTCTTCCTCCACCCCTTCTTTATCCTCGTTCTCCTCCAGCTAACTTGCGGCAGACCATCAGGAACCAAGTGTGTGTGGCAGCGGGAAGGAGTCTTCTGATCAAACGCATGTAGGAAGCGACACGGGTCGCAAATTGCATCACAAGGGCGGGTCCTCGTTGATGCTGGTTTTGACTTCCTTGTACTGGTCCTCCGCAGCCTTTTTGCGCTCCAACTCGGAGACAACAGAGAGCTCGGTCGTCAACGAGTTGTCTTGCGCAACCTTCGGGAGGCGCTGAAGGGTGAATCCTACAACATACACTTGATGCGAATCGTTGGAGGTGCGGGGCACTCCCTGGCAACGTACACGTCCACGACACCTACACGAGGTGAGCCGGAGAGACGGTTATGAAACGTGAAGCGCTAACAACCAATACAAAGTGAACAACACATCCGCGCTGAAGGGCCGCGTGGGAACACTATAGACGGTGGAATAACACAGGGACGTACAATGGGGGCCAGTCCACAAGTAACCTTCCACAAGGAACCCAACCCTGAGACCCCAGGACGTCCATCGATTTATGGTGTGGGAGCGTCACGCCTTCCATCGCAAAGCCATCGACACCCAAGAAGCCCAGGGCACCCTGGAGGCGAGCGGGGAGTTTCTTGGCATGGGGCTCCACTGTGCGCGCGGGAAGTGAAGGCCGTGATGTGGGGGTCTGGGCACCCCGAGGCACGGGGACCGGCTGTGTATGCCTTGGGGGGTCAGGTGGCGCCAGGTGGAAAGAAAACAGAGACGGGCGGGGTGGAAAAGGGAACGACAGGGTACAGGGGAAGAGAGAGAGAGAGCGATACATGTGTATGTATATATATATATGTATACAGATGTTGATGTAGAAAACTCCAAACACATACATACACACATATACACAATATGTCTTTACGTTACGTAATACGTTGATAGGTGTACATTCGGATGTGCGTTCTCATGTGGAACCCAACCAGCAGGTTACCATCACCATCGTCGTCGTCGTCATCACCACCACCATCACCATCAGCATCATCAGCATCATCATCAACATCGTCGTTATACTCAGCATAGTTACCATCATCACCATCAACATCGCCGACATCACCATCATCATCATCATCATCATCACCATCATTATCATCATCATCATCATCATCATCATCATCATCATCATCATCCCCATCACCGTCATACTCATATTTATCATCGCCACCGTCAACATCACCAGCACCACCACCACCATCATCATCATGATCATCAGCGTCATTGCCGTTTTCGTCGCCGTCGTTATCGGCGCCCTCACCATCGTCATCGTCGGCCGCCCACGATGATGGGGTCGGCAGACAATTTTGGGAACGCTTAGGCGGTGATGGTGGTGATGGCGACGGTATATGTATTGCGCGGTATATGTGTTGCAGCCCATGTACTGCACTTCAACCCCAATACTCGAGCAAGCACCCCACCCACCCACCCACACACCTGCGACTAGTTATCCAAACTCAGCTAGCGAAGCGACGCGAGGACCTTGCACTCATGCAGATCCATGACCCGGGAGGGCGAGTGATGGTGGGCACGACGGCATCAGCGACAACGAGGACGATGATCATGATCGGGATGGTGGTAAAAGCGCTGATGACGCGGGCGACAACGACAGTGGCGATGGTGATGATGGTGGTAATGACAATGATGCTGATACGGACACCTCGAGGTGGCCGACGTAGCAGGGCTATCAGCGACGCGGCAAGCGGGGTAGACTCCAGCGCTGATGATGGTGATGAGGATGATGATGATTCTGATTATGATGATGGTGCTGGTGATGGCGACGGTGGTGATGAGGACATAGAGGTTGGTGATGGTCATGGAGATGATACTGATCATGGCGATGGCACTGATGACGCTATCGATGATGTTGACCATGGTGCTGATGAGGGTGATGATGCCAGTCGCGCGCATAGGAGCTCTGACATACGTTGGATACTGAATAACTCACTGGCTTTTGTATTGTCTTCGGCATGCACGCGGGGACGCGCGTGCGCGGCCCGCGTCGTCTTACTTGGCAGAGTTTGTGGGTGCGCGATGTTTGCTCGAACATTTCGACATGCAAGAGCGTGCGGCCTGCGCGGTTTCAGCTGACAATGCTGCTGCAACCACTGTCGCTGCTTTCCCCTGATCATACCATCTGCGCGTGCGTATAGGCCCGCGGAATTGGTCCTGTGGCACAAGTTTGGGAGATGTTGGCGTCCACAGGCGACGACCGAGGACGTCCTGGGGCAATCTTGGGGCCGCCTCGGTCGCCGGGAAAGCGCGGGACGCCCTGCGGGGGAGGAGGGGATGTCGTGGGACGCCCGGGCTCGTACCCCGAATAGGTGAATGTAACTACATTTATGCAGATATACATACAAGCGCACACACACACACGTACACATACATTTATACATGTATGTATAAATATATACATACATAAATATATGTGTATATATGTGTGTATGCGTATCTATATCTCTTTTCTGTTTTTAAAAATGTGTTTGTCTGCGTGTTTGGTGGCTATGTCGACGCCGTCGCCGCCAATTCACCGCTCCGTCGCCGCCCGTCGTCTTGGCCTGTCTGCTGTTCTAATGGCTACGTGACCGCCGTCGCCACCCCGTCGCCGCCTCGTCGCCGCCCCTCGTCTGGGCCTGGGTGGCGTTTTGGTGGCTACGTCGACGCCGTCGCCACCACGTCGCTGTCTCGTCGCAGCCTAGATTCTGTTCCTTTAAACGAATAGTGCGATCTATCTCCCCCCCGTCTTACAAGTCCGCCCCATCGTCCATCCAAAATATATGAACGCAGACCACCCCAAGCAGTCATTTATCGGTGGCCCCCGATCCAATGCAAAACATTTAACGCGCGTACCCGGTTATCAAAATCCATCGGTTGTTTCAGGAATCGGCTGGGGACAACGACGACGTGCACACGCGCGCGTCGCCGCGCATGCCGAGGTCCTTCAAAAACCGTACGCTTTGTACGACGTTCAAGACAGCGTGCCCCGAACACATGTCCAACATTTGGTTTTAGAACATGCTTGCTCCAAGAAAAAAGCGCGCGATCCTGCGAATCCTTCTTCGCTTTTTCAACAAACGACATTAGCACTTCAACACGTTTAGCACATGATACCAGACGCGTCTCCCGCGCTCGCACGTCGAAACCGTTCGAACGCCGTTTGCGCGCGCGCGCTGTCGCAAAAACCCCTTGCAACAAGTGAGACGAAGTGCAACCTCGCGCGTCGTCGCGAGCGCATGCCGAAACCCTTCAACAACATTGGGCGTCGTACGGATTTCAACACCGAGTGCCCCGGCAACGTATAGAAACCCATGGGTTTGCAACATCAGTTTTCGAACAAAAAAATCAGCGAAGTCTTAACAGACGCCATCGGTTATTCAACGCCGTCAGCAGGTTCGACCCAACTGGCCTCCCGCGCTGCGCGCCGAAATCATTCGCACGCCCTTGCGCGCATGCTGCGAGAGGGGGGGGACGCGATCCTTATCAAATAACTCCATGCGGGCCATTCGCGCGCGTCGGCCACGCGCGCATGTCGAAATCCTCCTGCATCACCGACGCAATGGCACCATCATCGTGATCGGCGTGACCAGCATCGGCGCCAACACTTGCCTTGCCGTCGTCACCGCCATCACCGTCACCATCACCGCTGCAATCGTCATTGTGTCTACACTTGCCGACGTCGACATGATACTTCGCCCGCCAAGTCACCGACTCTCAATGGAGTGCCCGCACACCAGCGCGGCCTCAGAGACGCGCTTGGAAGTGCCCAACGGGAAGCGCCACCGCGGCCGCGTCGGTCACGCCAAACTAGCTAGCCGCTGTGCGCGCGAGCATGCGCGTGCTAACGCGGCCGCAGAAATGCACCAGCCAGCGCCAAGCACAGATCGCAATCGCCGCCGCATGGGTTTTGCAAACCCAATTGCGGGCGCGTGGGTGGGATAGTTGCGCGGACATTGAAGCTGACAGCTCCAGATTTTCCAATACGAATTGCGATACATGTTGCACGACGTCGATCGGTTGCGCCACATAGGTTTCGCACCACGTAGGTTGCACAACATATATGACACCACACATGCGCACACCATGGGCTGCATAACATACATTCTCCTTTCTAAAAAATTAATAGATTCTCCCCCCCTCCCCCCCCGGACTTATCGGTTCCCCCTGGGGTAGTATGGTTTCATGTAAATATATATATATATATATATATATATATATATATGTATGTATATTATGCACAATCGTCCATCCTAAACATGAAATCATACCATCCCAGCCAAACCAGGTTCCCCCCCCTACATGCGGTGACGTTTTTTGTTGTAACATAACACTGTTTCGCGAACCCCTTGCAGAAAAATAGGACGAAGTGCACACGCGCGCGTCGTTGCGCGCGCATGCCGAAATCCTTCAAAAACCTTCGGTGCCGGAAGGATTTCGCAATCGAGTTTCCAAACCACATACAAAAACACTGGGTTTCGCAACACTGATTTGCTAAAAAAGCTTACGCACGAGTTCTTGCGAAATCTTGAGAAAACCATAGGTTTTTCAGGATTTTCACGAAATGCTACCATACGGGCTTCGCGCGCGCGCGCATGTCGAAATCTGTCGAACGCCCTTGCGCGTGTACCGTCGCGAGAATCCCCTGCAAAAAACGGGACGAAGTGCAGACGCGCGCGTCGTCGCGCGCGTATGCCGAAATCCTTCGAAACCCATCAGTTTCGGAAGGATTTCAAAATCGTGCCCAAAAAACCTACAAAAACACAAGGTTTCGCAACACGGATTTCCATAAAAATCAACAAAAAAAACAAAAAAAAACAAAAAAAAAAAAATAACAAAAAAAAAAAATACAAAACAACACAAAATCACACAAAAATCAAAAAAAAAAAAACAATTTCAAAAAATAAAAAAAAAAAAAACAGCAAAAGCGTGCGCGCACGCTCATGCGTCGTCGTCGTCGTCGTCGCCGTCCTCCCTCCTCCCGCGTCGTCGTCGTCGTCGTCGTCGTCGTCGCCTACGTCGTCCTCTGTCTTTCCTCGTGTTCGCCGTCGTCGTCCTCTTTGGCGTCGTGGTCGTTTCCGTCGTCGTTGTCGCCGTGGTCGTCCTTCCTCCTCCTCCCTCGTCGTCGTCGTCGTCGTCCGTCGTCGGCGTCTCGTCGTCGTCGTCCCTCCTATTTTCGTACGCCGTCGTCGACGTCGTCGTCGTCGTCGTTTGTCGTCGGGCGGTCTTCTTTCCCTCCCTCCCCCCTCGTCGTTGCCATCGTTCGCGTCGCCGTCCTTTCCTTCCTCCATCCTTCGCGTCGTTCGCAATTCGCGTCGTCGCCGTCCTCTACACCCTCCACCCTCGGTCGATTGTCGTCGTTGTCTCGTTGTCGCCGTCGAATCGTTCCTCCCCTCTCTCTCCACCTTATCTGGTAAATCACTGCCTTCGTCGTTCCTTTTCAGGCGGTGGGGTCGACTTCCGATCGTCTTCGGTTCGGTCTTTCCCGTCGTCGTCGGCGTCAGCGTCGTCGTCGTCTTCGTCGTCGTCGACGTCGGCGTCGTCGTCGTCGACGTCGTCGGTGTCGTCGTAGTCGTTGTCGGCGGCGTCGTTGTCGTCGTTGTCGCTGTCGTCGTCGGCGTCGCTGTCGTTGCCAAGTGCCATTTGGTACCCACCGTCACGGTCTTAAGAGATTTTGTAAACCAAGTTGCGGGTGGGTGGGTGGGATGCTTGCGCGAGCAGTGGAGTGGACAACTCACTGCGAACAGAAACTAGTTTCACCCGATAGATTGCACCACATGAACTGCACCACGTAGAATGCCCCACAACGATTGCACAAGACAGATCGCACAACATATATTGTACAACTCATATTGCACCACAAAGCTGGCACTACATAGATTGCACGACCCAGGTAGCTCCACAAATGTTGCACAACCTCGATTGCAAAACATGTATTGCACTACATTGGTTGCACAGCCCATATGGAACAATACAGGTTGCACCACGTATACCGCGTCAGTCATTTTGCTTCACCTATACCACAGGTTGCTAGAAACACACTATTTGGGGTCAACGCTGGCGAACATCTATGCTTACAAAAGTATGTATGTATAAATGTGTATCATAATGCGCACCCCTCTGGGGCAGTATGGAGCTCGGAGGTTGGTTACCCGTTGTTCCTGTTTCCTGGCCGCCTGGCCTCAAACACCCCGAGCATTCTGACATGTGGGCTAAAACTCAGATGTGGAAAACCAGCGTTGGTGCCCATGGTGAAACTTGGAGAAGCGTGGCTGAACGCGGCCAAACATACTTCAGTTCGTGACTAGAGATGTCTCAACGTGCGACACATGCATACAAGGGACCCGCGTGTGCATAATAAACCCGCCCGAGCATGGAAAACTCAAATGATGTGCGGGACACGAACATAAGCACGACCAGGCACCTCTTCCCTCAAACATGCAAGCCTTCAAGGTGAGAGCAGGTTCGTATTAAACATGGATGTTCACAAGAGTGACCGCCGCGCCGAAAAAATGACTCGGAGACGCCCCTGCGGCCCGTGTACGGCCACCATTCAGGACATTCTCGAGAAGCGGACAAGGAGAGCAAGGAGGAACAACGAGGACGACGGGAAAGAAGGGAAAAGAGGGAGAGAGAGAGAGAGAGAGAGATAAAAAAAAAGAGAACAACACACACACACAAAAAAAAAACAACAAAACAACGAGATGGGGAGAGGGGAAGAGACAGCGATATATATATATATATATATACCCACCAGTCGGAAGAAGTAGGTAGAAACATGAAGTAGGAAGGCGGGACAAGTTAATTGCGTTCGGGGCCGCCCAACAAATCAACAGCAACAACAATTACAATAAGTACATTACAAATCCCACCAGCCCTCTGGGCGTCGGTGGTTTAGGGTGTTTCCTCTTCCACCCCTCCCTCTTCCCCTTCGGGAATGGGTTTACCCCTCCCCCTACCCCCTCCCCACTGACCTGGACGGGGGGGGCCGCGAGCGGTCAGAGCGTCCAAAACGGCCTCGGCGAGGAAGCCAAAATCATTGATTTTACTAATGTTTTGGGCCCCATTTTGGCCTTCTGTGGGGGGGGGGGGGGCTGAAATTTAGGAACCCCCCCTCTTTGATCGATTTCCTCCACGATGGCCGCAAGAGGCCCCCAGGATGCCCCAAGAGGCCGCAGGATGGCCCCAAGATGGCCCCAAGAGGCCCCCCAAGAGGCCCCCAGGAGGCCCCCAAGAGACCCCCAAGAGGCCCCAAGAGACCCTTTTGGCCCCATTTTGGCTTCCTGAGGGGGCAAAGATGGCCCCAAGAAGCGTCCAGGAGGCCCCCAAAGGCCCCAAGATGGCCCCAAGAGGCCCCAAGAGGCCCCAAGAGGCCCCCAGGAGGCCCCAAAGAGGCTCCCGAACGGCCCACAGAGCCCCCCCCGAGGCACCCAAGACGCCGAAAAGCCCCTCAGGACGACCCTCTACTCGCCTGGGCGTCGTTTCTGGACGGGCTGGTGGGGATACGCGAAGCGTCTAGAATTTCCGGGCCCTGTCTCAGCGGCACGCCATAGCCTGGGTCGCTCGGACCCTCGGCTGGCCCAACTCCCTGGTTTAATGTGTGTTAATTGGTTTTCCCTCGTCCGTCGGCTGCACTGGTCGCCCGAGGCTCGCCCGCCGCCCCGCGGTCGCTCGGCCCCTCGGCTGGCCCAATTCCTTGGTTTTGTGTGTTTTTGATTGTTTTCGCTTGTCCGTCGGCTGCACTGGTCGCCCCAGGCTCGCCCGCCCCGCGGTCGCTCGGCCCCTGGGCTGGCCCCATTCATTGGTTTTGCTTGATTTTGTTTGTTTTCGCCTGTCCGTCGGCTGCACTGGTCGCCCCAGGCTCGCCCGCCGCCCCGCGGTCGCTCGGCCTTTCGGCTGACCCCATTCCTTGGTTTTGTTTGTTTTTGTTTGTTTTCGCTTGTCCGTGGGCTGCACTGGTCGCCCCAGTCTCACCCACAGCCCTGCGGTCGCTCGGCCCCTCGGCTGGCCCAATTCCTTGGTTGTTTCTGGTGTGTTTTCGCTTGTCCGTCGACTGCACTGGTCGCCCCAGGCTCGCCCGCCGACTATCGGTCGGGCGCCCTTCCGGCTGGCCAAATTCCATCGTTTTGTTTGTTTTTGTTTGTTTCCCTTGCCCGTCGGCTGCGCTGGTCGCCCCAGGCTCGCCCGCCGCCCCGCGGTCGCACGGCCTCTCGGCTGGCCCAAATCCGAGGGGGCGAGCGACCGCGGGGCGGCGGGCGAGCCTGAGGCGACCAACGCAGACGACGGACAAGCGAAAACAAACAAGAAACAAACAAACCAAGGAACTGGGCCAGCCGAGGGCCCGAGCGACCGCGGGGCGGCGGGGAGCCTGGGGCGACCAGTGCAGCCGAAGTACAAGCGAAAACAAACAAAAACAAACGAAAACAAGCAAAACCAAACAGATTGGACCAGCCGAGGGGCCGAGCGACCGCGGGGCGGCGGGCGAGCCTGGGGCGACCAGTGCAGCCGACGGACAAGCGAAAACAAACAAAAAACAAACAAACCAAGGAATTGGGCCAGCCGAGGGCCCGAGCGACCGCGGGGCGGCGGGCGAGCCTGGGGCGACCAACGCAGCCGACGGACAAGCGAAAACAAACAAAAACAAACAAAAACAAGCAAAACCAAACAGATTGGACCAGCCGAGGGGCCGAGCGACCGCGGGGCGGCGGGCGAGCCTGGGGCGACCAGTGTAGCCGACGGACAAGCGAACACAAACAAAAACAAACACAACCAAGGAATGTGGCCAGCCGAGGGGGCCCAGCGACCGCGGGGCGGCGGGCGAGTCCGAGGCGGCCAGCGCAGCCGGCGGACAAGCGAAAACACACAAAAACAAGCAAACCCAAACAAATTGGGCCAGCCGAGGGGCCGAGCGAAAAACGTAAAAACAAACAAAACTAATGAATTTGGCCAGCCGAGGGGCCGAGCGACCGCGGGGCCGCGGGCGAGCCTGGGGCGACCAGTGCAGCCGACGGACAAGCGAAAACAAACAAAAACAAACACAACCAAGGAATTGGGCCAGCCGATGGGCCGAGCGACCGAAAGGCGGCGGGCGAGCCTGGGGCGACCAGCGCTGCCGACGGACAAGCGAAAACAAACAAAAACAAACAAAACCAAGGAATGGGGCCAGCCGAGGGGCCGAGAGACCGCGAGGCGGCGGGCGAGCCTGGGGCGACCAGTGCAGCGATCAGTGAGGCCGACGGACAAGCGAAAACAAAGAACAACAAACAAAACCAAGGAATGGGGCCAGACGAGGGGCCGAGCGACCAACGTCACCCAGGGAAGTGACAACCAAACCCTCGAAGTAGATTAGGTTTGCGCCCGCCCCCAGAAAAATCGAAACATATCGATTATTGAAATAGGAAGGCGCTTTAAGTAGATTGGGATCTCAGAATCCAAGAATACCTACAACGACCGGTGGGTACTTAGAGAGAGAGAGAGAGAGAGAGAGAGAGAGAAGAGAGTAGAGAAGAGAGAAAAGAGAGGAGAAAGAGAGAGAGAGAGAAGAGAGAGAGATAGAAAGAGAGAAAAGAGAAAAGAGAAAAGAGAGAGAGAAGAACAACAAAAAAACGACAGAGAGAGAGAGAGAGGAACAAAAAAAAAAAAAAAAACGAAGCAGGAGGCAGAGAAAGGGAGGACTCCAGAGACCCCGAACGGGCGGGCCCTCAGAGGAGCAGGCCGCCCTCGGGCCTGCCGCCCGCGGCCCACGCCGCGCGCAGCGCCCTGCGTGCGCCCTCGCCGAGCGGATTGCCGCCGAGGCCGAGGACCTGCAGGCTCGGCAGGGCGCCCGGGGCCCCGAGGGCCGCCGCCAGGGCGGCCGCGCCCTCGTCCCCCACGCGGTTGGCGCCGAGGCCGAGGACCTGCAGGCTCGGCAGGGCGCCCGGGGCCCCGAGAGCCGCCGCCAGGGCGGCCGCGCCCTCGTCCCCCACGCGGTTTTCGCCGAGGCCGAGGACCTGCAGGCTCGGCAGGGCGCCCAGGGCCCCGAGGGCCGCCGCCAGGGCGGCCGCGCCCTCGTCCCCCACGCGGTTGGCGCCGAGGCCGAGGACCTGCAGGCTCGGCAGGGCGCCCGGGGCCCCGAGGGCCGCCGCCAGGGCGGCCGCGCCCTCGTTCCCCACGCGGTTGGCGCCGAGGCCGAGGACCTGCAGGCTCGGCAGGGCGCCCGGAGCCCCGAGGGCCGCCGCCAGGGCGGCCGCGCCCTCGCCCCCCGCGCGGTTTTCGCCGAGGCCGAGGACCTGCAGGCTCGGCGAACGCCCGGAGCCCCGAGGGCCGCCGCCAGGGCGGCCGCGCCCTCGTCCCCCACGGGGTTCTCGCCGAGGACGAGGACCTGCAGGCTCGGCAGGGCGCCCGGGGCCCCGAGGGCCGCCGCCAGGGCGGCCGCGCCCTCGTCCCCCACGCGGTTTTCGCCGAGGCCGAGGACCTGCAGGGCTCGGCAGGGCGCCCGGGGCCCCGAGGGCCGCCGCCAGGGCGGCCGCGCCCTCGTCCCCCACGCGGTCGGCGCCGAGGCCGAGGACCTGCAGGCTCGGCAGGGCGCCCGGGGCCCCGAGGGCGGCCGCCAGGGCGGCCGCGCCCTCGTCCCCCACGCGGTTTTCGCCGAGGCCGAGGACCTGCAGGCTCGGCAGGGCTCCCGAGGCCCCGAGGGCCGCCGCCAGGGCGGCCGCGCCCTCGCCCCCACGCGGTTTTCGCCGAGGCCGAGGACCTGCAGGCTCGGCAGGGCGCCCAGGGCCCCGAGGGCCGCCGCCAGGGCGGCCGCGCCCTCGTCCCCCACGCGGTTGGCGCCGAGGCCGAGGACCTGCAGGCTCGGCAGGGCGCCCGGGCCCCGAGGGCCGCCGCCAGGGCGGCCGCGCCCTCGTCCCCCGCGCGGTTTTCGCCGAGGCCGAGGACCTGCAGGCTCGGCAGGGGCCCGGGGCCCCGAGGGCCGCCGCCAGGGCGGCCGCGCCCTCGTCCCCCACGCGGTTGGCGCCGAGGACGAGGACCTGCAGGCTCGGCAGGGCGCCCGGGGCCCCGAGGGCCGCCGCCAGGGCGGCCGCGCCCTCGTCCCCACGCGGTTGGCGCCGAGGCCGAGGACCTGCAGGCTCGGCAGGGCGCCCGGGGCCCCGAGGGCCGCCGCCAGGGCGGCCGCGCCCTCGTCCCCCACGCGGTTTTCGCTGAGGCCGAGGACCTGCAGGCTCGGCAGGGCGCCTGGGGCCCCGAGGGCCGCCGCCAGCTTGGAATTGATTCAAGCATTTGCGGCCGTTTGCGCTGTGTCCGTCGTTTTTTGTAAGCTTTGGGTATAATCCACCCCATCTGTGGGTTGCTACTGTTGAGGACGACGAAGAAATTCTTCGTTGAGGAGGGGGGGGGAGGAGGAGGAGGAGGAGGAGAAGGGATGGGCCTAGCCACGAAGAGAAGGGCCCCCGCTCGATCTTTCCTCCGATCAACGCCGAGAGGGCCTGGTCAGATAGGCCCCCGAACTCAGGAACGGCGCTCTCGCTCGAGATTGCCTCGCACTTCTGCCCGTGGCCGACGAGGGAGATATTCCCACAGAAGAAGGGGGCGCGATCGAAGACGAAGTGGGCGGACATCGAGGGCCGGGGCATACAAAACGAAAGACACGCGGGCAGTTACGAGCGAAAAGCCTTCAAATGGAGGAGGAATCATTCGTCACTCAACCCCATCATTGTTTCCATTGTTCCTCTCCCTCCCTCACACACTCTATCCATCTCACTACTCCTCTCATCCGTTTCCATCCCTTGCCCCATCCCTTGCCATTCATTGGATTGTCATCGCGACCCCTCTCCACCATTCCCTTATTCCCCTCCCTCCCCCCCCGCCCTCCTCCCCCCCCCTCCTCCCTCCCCCGAGCCCCCCCCCCTTCCTTTCCCCCCCCCGCGGCGGCGGGGCGGTGCAGGGAGAGGCCATCCACGTGGTGGCCGCCCTCCTCGTCGAGGCCCCGGGCCTCGTCGAGGCCGCGGCGCGGCCCGCCCAGAAGCCCGGGGGGGAGGGGGGAGGAGGGGGGGGCAAGGGGGAGAGGACGAGGGAGGGAGGGAGGACGAAGGGAGGAGGAGGGAGGGATACAGGACGAGGGAGGGGGAGGAGGAGGATAGGGGGAAACGAATGAGAATGCGGAGAGACACCCCGAGCGGCAAAGAGGAGGAGGAGGAGGAGGAGGAGGAGGAGGAGGAGGAGGAGGAGGAAGAAGAGGGGGGAATTGTGGAGGTGATATTTCCGTTGCCTCCTTGCCTCATCCTAACCACCCGCCTTCCAGCGTCATCCATCATTCCTCCTCCTCCCCCTCGTGATCCTCATCCCCCTCCCTCGTAACGCATCCCTCCCTCATCCGCTTCCGCCTTCTCCTCATCCGACTCCTCCCTCGTCCTCTCACCGTCTCCATCGCCCTGGGCGTAGGTGGTGTACAGAACTTTGTCTTCTCTCTTTCCACGGCCCCTCCTACCCCTGCTCGGGGAAAGGTTCACCCCTCTCCCTACCCCGGGCCCGGGAGGGGGGGGGGTTCGAGGCGTCAGAGGGCGCTCTTCGGCGCAAGATGGCTCCAAGCGGCCATCTGAAGGCCCAAAAAGGCCTCCAAGATGGCGCACGATAGCTCAAGATGGCTCAAGATAGTCACCGACATACCTCCAAGAGGCCCCAAGACGGCCACGAGACTGTTTCAAATACCCGCCGAGCCCTCCAACTTGGAGGGCTCCGCCAAGAAACCAAAATGGCCCCAAAACCTAAGGCCAATCAATGTTTCTGGCGTTCTCGCCGTTTCGCTCCCGATGGGCATCGGCGGCCTCAGGGTCGCCACAAGATGGCCCAAGAGAGCCCCAAGAGGCGCCCAAGAGGGCCCCAAGAGGGCCCCAAGAGCGCCCAAGAGCGTCCCAAGAGCGCCCCAAGAGGGCCTCAAGACGGCCTTTTTTAGCCTCCGAGGGGGGGAGCTGAATTGAGGACCCCCCCTCTTTTGAGCCATGGGCCCCAAGACGGCCCAAAGACACCTCTCAGACCACCACCCCCAGGATGACCCCAAGAGGACCCCAAGAGGACCCCAAGAGATCCCCAAGATGGCTCCAAGAGACCTCCGAGAACCCCTCACAACAACACCTCAATTCGCCTGGGCATCGTTGTTGGATGGGCTGGTGGGGGTGCGCGAAGCGTCAAACATTTACCTCGCCCTCTCGCGTTTCTCTCCCTCGCCCCCCTCGCCCTCTCCCTCGCACGCGGGCCGCGACGGGTGTTATTGCCCGAATCGCATCGCGTCCGCGGCGGGAACGCTCCGCGGCGCCGATGCGCGGCGCCGGGCGCGGCGCCGATGCGCGGCGCCGATGCGCGGCGCCGATGCGCGGCGCCGATGCGCGGCGCCGATGTGCGGCGCCGATGCTGGACCCGCGGTCCATTTTTAAAGTTAGTCTCATCATCCGCCCGATCCTCCTCGACAAGTTCCGCCTCCTCCGCGTTGCCCATCTCCCTCACTCATGCCCCTCTTCCTCCTCCTCCGTATTGCCCTTATCCCTGTCCTCATTATGTAGTTGCTGCTGGATCGATGGCCAAACTGGATCGATCTCGGAGCCCACGTCCACCCCGTCGTCCTCTTCCTCCTCCGCATCGTCGCCCTCGTCCTGGCCTGGCTCCCCATCCACATTTTCTTCCTCCCCTTATCCTCCTCGCCCTCATGCTGCTCCTCATCCTCATCCTGATTCTGCTTATGTTTATGCTTCTGCTCCTGCTCCTGCTCCTGCTCCTCCTCCTCCTGGTCCTCCCCCCCCTCCTCGCCCTCCTCCTCTTCCTCCTCCTTCTCCCTCCTCACCCGCACCATTTGCCGCATGGCCCCCCTTCTCATCCTCGGCCTATGGGGCCGAACGGGCTTCACTTCTTAGCGGTGTCTTAGTGGGGCCCGTCGGCCCCAACAAAATCTTAGATCTGAGCCGACTGGCTCAGCTTAGCTGACACCGGCGCGAGCTGCCGACAGCATCGCGGCCAGACTCCCCGCGAGGCCGCCCGCTGAGCCGCCGCTGCTGCCGCTGCTGCCGCCGGCGGTGCCGCTGCCGGCGGCGCCGCCCGTCGCGCCGCCGGTCGTCGCGCCCGCCGCAGGAGCAGCCCCGCCGCTGCTGCCGGGCCCCGCCGCCGCGCTGGCGCCTGCGCCGGCGCCCGTGGCCCGGCAGGCCGAGCCAGGGGGGGGCTCTCACGAAGGGGGGCGGGGGGGATGAGGATGAGGAGAAGGAGAAGGAGGGAGGAGGAGGAGGAGGAGGAGGAGGGGGAGGAGAAGGGGGAGGAGGAGGAGGAGGAGGGAGGAGGAGGAGGAGGAGGAGGGGAAGGAGGCCGGGGGAGAGGAAGGAGGAGGAGCAGCAGCAGGAGGAGGAGCAGCAGTAGGGAGTATGATTTACCTCTATCCCCATCTTCCTCATCTTCCTCATCCTTCATCTTCCTCATCATCCTGCCCTCATCTTCCTCATCTACCTCATCAGTGATCCTCTACCTCATCTTCGTTCTCATCCTTCATCTTCCCCATCCTGCCCTTATCTTCCTCATATTCTTCATCGGTGATCCTCTACCTCATCTTCCTTCATCTTCCTCATCCTTCATCTTCCCCATCCTGCCCTCATCTTCCTCATCTTCCTCATCAGTGATCCTCTACCTCATCTTCCATCATCTTCCTCATCCTGCCCTCATCTTCCTCATCTTCCTCATCAGTGATCCGCTACCTCATCTTCCTTATCCTGCTTTGCCTTCCGCCTGTTGTTCACCTCCGCGGCGTACGCCGGCGCGTAAACCTTGCTCTGAGGGTCGGCCATCTTCTCGTACATGTGCTTGAGGAGCTGCTGCATGATGTGCTTCTTCTGGAACTCCGTCTGGCAGATGCCGAGGTAGCCAATGTTGTTCGTGACGCAATCGCAGCACTGCTCACCGACACCTGGGGTCATGTCGATCGCGCTGATGCACCAGAAAGCGTGGCGCAGGGAGTCCGTCACCACGCTCGGCAGGCTGTGGTAGGTGATCGGCTGGATCCTGCTGTCCTTGGCGATCCGAAGTTCTGGGCTGGGGTTCTCCTCCTCAGGCGGCTCATCGGCTTCTTGTTCTCCGTCGTCGTCGACTTCTTGCTCCTCGTCGTCGCTCTGTTCGTCCGAGTCGCCGCCCACGCCCTCCGTCCTGCCGCCCACGGCGCGCCTCCTTGCGCCCCAGAACTGCTTTTTTTCACCAATCGTGAGCTTCGGGAGACCGGACCACGGCAACAAGCTACAAGGGCCGACGAAGTTCGACATGTTGGTGGCATCCGGGAAGTGCTTATGCTCACGAGGCTGGATCGTCGCGAAACTGCTGTGGAACATGAACACGCGCTGGGAGCACCGAAGGACGCATTGCCTCGTCTTCTGGCGATGCTTGCGCGCCTTTACGCTCTTCTCGTCGAAAGTCAAGATGATTTCTCGCATGATGGTCTTCCCGTCCTTGGCTGTACGTGTTCTGTCTGCAGTTTTGCGGTCTTTCCCCATGCCCCAGTTGTTCAGGAACGTGCTGTCGTTAGTCCTGCCCCCATCAAAGAGCATCAGGACGTCGCCTTTGGGCAGGATGCCTACCTGGTCCGGAGCGGTCCGCGCAGTCAAGACAGATTTCCACATCTTCTGGATGATCGGCTTCTGCAACGGAGGCTTGCGGATGTGGGGGTGCGTCTGGCTCTCGTCGAACAGATTCGCGTCGAACGTGATGATGACGTTGCCCGCGCCCCCGCCCTTCACGGCGCCGAGGCCGATGCCCTTGATGGCATTCGTCAGCTCCGTCTGGTTCTTGCCATTCTCCACGATCAACTCGCAGAACTTCTTGATGTGGCGCTCCGCGTAATCGGCCCAGTCGGCCTCGAGCTCGATGATATCTGGAGGCGGCGCTGCCGGCGAAGCGGGGCCACCGGCAGCAGCGGGGCCAGCAGGTGGCGGCGCGCCGGCCCCTGGTGCGCCAGCAGGCGGGGCTGCCAGGGATGCCTGCGGCACCGAGTTCTCCTCGGACAGCGCGGCGTCGATTTCCTGGGCAGGGGGTCACATTTGCTTGCCTAACAAAAAATGACAAATAATGAGGAAGAGTCGGAGGGACAAGAGCAGGGGGGATCAGAAGGAGCAGGAGGATGAGGAGGGGGAAGTCTTGCATCGAGGAGGAGGAGCAGGAGACGGGCGGCGCCTCAGAAAGGAGGGGGGGAGGGGGGAGGAGGAGGAGGAAGAGAAGGGGGAGGGAGGAGGGAGGGGGGAGCAAGAGAAAGAGGAGGAGGAGGGGGAGGAGGAGGAGGAGGAGAGGGCAATGCCACCGAAGGAAAACACAATTAAACTTTTGTTGGGGCTATGGGGCTATAGGGCTCTAGGACTATAGGCCTCTGGGGCTCTGGGCTATAGGGCTATAGGAGAAAGACGAGGAAGAGGGGGAGGGGCTGTAAGGGGGGGCGTCAGAATCAGGAGGAGCAGGAGGAAGGAGGAGGAGAAAGATGAGAAGCAGGAGGAGGATCGATATCCTCCATGTTTGCCTTCCAAGGCTGGTATTCCGACAAAATCTCAACCGCGGTTTTGCCGGACTTGATGCCGTTCTTAATCGAACTCGTGTCGTGCGGGTCGAAAGTGAAGCAGGTCATCTCAATCGTATCCAGGGTCCGCCGCGCAGAGAGAGGCCACGTGCTTACGAAGGTCGAGTCTGCGTCTTTGTATGTCTCCCTATACACGATTGGGTTCTCAAATAATTCGCGGATCTTGGCCTTGTGGTCGGCGTGGATGTTCGGGGGCACGTAAAGGGAGAGGGTTGCCCGAGGCGGGGCCAGAGGAACACCGCCCTGGATGCCCCACCGACAAGGCACACGTCAGCCTCAAGCTGGATTCGCCCCCCACCTCGGGCCACCCTTCCCTATTGCGCACACCCGATATGTTCCTCGCGTCAAGAAACTGGGACGTGAAATAGTCCCGCATGGCAAGTTTCATCAAGATGACGTCGATCAAGCCCGCCCTCCCACTCTGGCCCCTCAGCTTGTTCATGCTCAAATCACCTACGTGGGAGGAGGCGCGAGGCCAGCTGGCGTAGGAGGAGGCAGGAGGGGGGGGAGGCAGTAGAGGAGGCAGCAGGCAGGAGACGGGGGGAGGAAGCCGGAGGAGGGGGGATGGGGACAATGCAGGAGGAGGGAGAACGACTAAGAGAGAGAGAGAGAGAGAGAGAGAGAGAGAGAGAGAGAGAGAGAGAGAGAGAGAGAGAGAGAGAGAGAGAGAGAGAGAGAGAGAAAGAGAGAGAGAGAGAGAGAGAGAGAGAGAGAGAGAGAGAGAGAGAGAGAGACAGAGACAGAGACAGAGAGACGAGAGAGAGAGACAGAGACAGAGACAGAGACAGAGACAGAGACAGAGACAGAGACAGAGACAGAGACAGAGAGAATAGGATTGGCATAAGCAGTGAGCCGACCCACAGACCTGTCTCCAGTCCTTGACTAGCCAAGCCCTCCACCACGAGCTGGAAGAACCGCAGATTCTTTTGCTGGTTCTTGCACTTGTAGGCAATCATCACGAGCTTGGAGATCGAATTGAAGGGGCTCTCGGAAAGGTACCTGTCACGATGATGCATGATTTGAGGCCCAACCCCTCCGAACCGCAATGAAATGTGGTTTGGGGTGGCCGTGAGAGGCGCGCTGCCGTCATTTCCCGGGTGCGATTTGCGTGTGCCGGAGGGGGGGCGGGAGTAGCAGCCAGCGTCTCGCAAATATGTTTACATGTATGTGTTGTGGTTACCGACCTCCTGTGTTGCTGCGTTGTGTTTGCAGTGTGGTTGAATTCGGTGGGGTCATATGTCTTGCTTTTGCATGTAGATATAGCCAATAATTGTACGTTGGTTCTGTTCCTGGGTACTTTCTGTCCATCGTGGCAATGATGTCACGGATCTCCGCATTGCTGAAAAGAACCTCGTACACCTTGAGGGCATCTTTGATTGTGCTTTCTGAAGCCCGGGACTCTGAATCCTTCTCAGCATCAGGCATACGCTTCGCGTAGATGTCAGCAATTTCCTGTCACGGGCCGGCGATATCATCCCCTCCTTGCTTCCACAGACGGCCGAAATCGATGGCGACCAGACGCCGAGCGATGACAATTACATGCAGACAGCACAGACATACTTACATGCACATCTATGTACAAGTAGTTGCACAGGCGTGCGCAAGTAGATGCATCCATGTGAACATGCCCGTCCTTGTGTACATACATACACACGCGATTAATAGCACTATGTGCGCGTATACCTGATCCTGCACACGCGAATGTATATGTGCATGACCATGTACGTGAATGTTGCAAGTATATGTATGTTTAAATGTGATTATGTGTACACATGTACATGCATACATACCTATATGTATGTTTGGAGGGCACGAAGTGGGCGTGCTCCCAGGCCATTTGCGTAGCCGCTAGGGCTCAAACTTCACTCCGCGCCTACCCGCATTTCTCGGAGCCCAGGGCATCCAAGACAGCCCAAGAGGTAGCAAGCAAGACGGCCCAAGATGGCCCAGAGACTCCGACGATGGCCCCAAGATCGCCCAAGAGGCTTCGAACAAGCCCCGACAAGCATCCAAGAGGCGCCCCCGCGATGCGAGGTCGCAAGGAACGGCGAACTGGAATCCAGTCCGTCGTTTCGGGCCCTTTAAACACGTAGCACAGGACGGCGAACTGGATTCCAGTTCGTTGCCCCGACGCTCCAAGACGGCCCAAGACGCCCACAAGACCGCCCTTAAACTGCCCAGGAGACTCCAAGGACGTGCCGAGACGGCCCAAGACGGCGCCAAAAGAGCCCCAACAATTTTCAAGGCTGCTCCAGGAGTGCCCCAATTTTGAACCCGATCCATCCACCGCAAGAGCGCTCTGTGGGCAAAGAGAAGGAGGAGGGGGAGAAGGAAAAGGAAGGAACTTGAACTTGAACTAGCTCGAGGAAGCCACGCAATCATCAATGACACCGCAGTCAACAAAAGAGGAGGGGGGGAGAAGAGGAGTTGGGGAAGGGGGGGGGGAGGAGAAGGAGAAGGAGGAGGGGGAGGGGGGAAGGACGGGAGGAGGAGAAGGAGAGAGAGCAGGATGAGGACGGGGTCCTTGTGGCTGAGGGTCTTGCTAAGGATCGCCTCTTTCCGGGTCTTGAACAACCAAATGTCGGCAATGATCTGCGACGCCAAGTGCACGATCGCCGCTGCCGCGTCCCTGAACCTGCGGCGGGCGTTCGTCACCCAGAAGTATTGATCGCCCCAAGTCTCTGCCCGCACGACTCGCCCTGTCGCGCTGAGCAAACAAGCCTTCCACCGTTTCATCTCTTCCGCGTCGGCTCCAGCCTCGATGCGCTCCGCGACCTTGAGGACCAACGCCTGCTGCGGCTCCTCTGGGCTCAGGCGGGTCATCTTGCCCCCGACGACGCCGCCGGGGCCCGCCAAGAAGTCGATTGGCTCCGCCAAGGGGCGCACCAGCCCAGGGGGCCAAAGGTTCTGCATGAAATTCTCGACGGCATGGACGTTGATGGCAACGGTCGGCGTCAGGGACTCACTCGGCTTGGCCCAGAGCACGTTGACGCCGCCCGTGACTAACACCTGACAGGGGAAATGCACGCAAGCAGGCGGGGGCGAGGAGAGATTAGAGGACGACTTTCTGGACGTCTCAGCGGCGCCAGCCGCCAAGAACTACCCATTGACCGAGATAGGGGAAAAAAACTACTCGCTGCCTGTTTTAGGAGAAGCGCAAGTGGGCGGGTTTCCCAACCAACCTGGTCTGCCCAAACTTCCTCGTTGAGCCTCTCCTCAACGAGGTCATAGTTGATCGGCTCCTGGTACCCAACGTCGCCAGCCAGCGGCATCGCCTTCTCGATGTTCTGGCCGAAGTAGCCCTTGATCTTGTCCATGGCCAGCTCGATCCGCTGATGGAACTCTGCATTTGGATTTGTGAAGCCCGGCAAAGAGGTTGTCGAAAAGAGACCGACAATGTGGGGGCCCTGGCTGTTAGCCTTGGTCTTCGCCGGCGCCTTCCCCTTAGCCTTGGCCTTCGCTTGCGGCGGCTCGTCAAGCTCCACGTCTGCCTCGCCTAACGCATCCTGGGCGCCACCGACCCTGGCCTTCTTCTTAGCAGGGGGCATTGCCGATGACCTACCAGAACACCAGAATCAATATGTTCGGTAGTCGGAATGGCGCGCGCCCTGCGAAGCCAAATGGCTACGGCCGCGCGCAGCTCCAAAAACTGGCCAAGATGGTTGTCCAGGAGGGGTCCAGGGACTAAGGACAATCCGAGCTCCAGGGCGTGCTCCGTCGCGATCTTGCCCTCCTGGGCCGTCTTCGGGCCCCGGGGCGTTAGAAGAGGACCAGCGGCAAAAAAACATGGCCCCAAGGATGCGATCGACGAGAGCCCATGGACCCAGGCATCGAAGTGCCACGGCGTCGGTCGGACGCACCGCGGCGCGGATTATTTCTGCTGTCGCTGTTGGCGCTGCTACGACGGTGGAAGCCTGGGATAGGGAAATCTCGGGTAAGGAATCCAGGGTCTTGCGACCGATGGAAGGCCAGTCGTGGGCCAGACCTGGGTTGAATAATTACACCCCAGCTCAGCGCGGCAACTTCGCCGCCGCGACCCGCCCCGCGACGGGCCTTGCTGCGGCTCGCCGACGACCTGCCAGCGACCCGCTCCGCGAGGGGGAGGAGGAGGAGGAGGAGGGGGAGGAGGAGGAGGAGGAGGAGGAGGAGGAGGAGGAGGAGGCGGAGAGGGCAGGGGGCGGAGGCGGAGGAGGCGGAGCTCTCATCCCCCTCCACCATCGTCTCCACCTCCTCTACTTCTTCCCCTTGACTTCATTCCCCTCATCCGGCACCCCCCCATCCCCCCCCCAGCAGCCGGGCGCGCGGGCACGCGCGGCGCGGCGGCGCCGCCTGCGCCAGCCGCCAGCCGCGCGGCGGAGCCGCTGGCGCCTGCTGGTCGCGGAGGCGCCGGGGGGGGGGGCAGCGGGGACGGGGTAAGGGGGGGGAGATGAGAGGGATGGGGGGGGGATGGGGAGGGACGAGAAGGGGGAAGATGATGAGGAGCAGGAGCCGCAGGAGAAGCAGGAAGAGGAGCGAGCAGGAGAAGCAGCAGGAGGAGCAGGAAGAGGAGGTGGAGCAGGAGGAGCAGCAGAACGATCACCGGCCAGGCCGCGCCCGACGAAATCCCAAAAGCCCTCCAGGGGGCGTTGGGTGTGAGGAGCGCTCCCACCCCTGATCGGGGGAGGGGCGCGCCCCCCCCGCGGGTCGAGGGGCGCGCCGCGACCAGGTAGAGCGCCCAAGACGACCCAAAACAACATTCAGAGGGCCTCAGCGACCCCAAAGCATCCAAGATGGCTCGAGATAGCTCAAGATGGCTCAAGATAGCCTCCGACATACCTCCAACAGGCCCCAAGACGTCCCCAAGACGGCTCCAAGGGCCGCCCATGGGCCCCGAGAAGCACCCAAGAGACCCCAAGGAGGGCCCGAGAGGCCCCCAAGAGGGCGCCAAGAGGAGGCCAAGGAGGGGCTCCTTGGGTCGGCTCTTGACGTCGTCGTCGTCGTCGCCCCCCTTCCCCTCCCCCTCCCCCTCCCCATCCTCCTCCTTTTCCTCCTCCTCCTCCTCCTCCTCCTCCCCATCATCATCCTCCCCCTCCTCCTCCTCGCCCTCCTCCCCTTACTCCTCGTTTGAGCCATGATGGGGCCCCAGACGGCCCCAAGAGACTCCTCGACGGCCCCAAGATACGCAAAGCGTCAATAAGTCCACGGACCAGGCGACGATGGCAACGAGGATCGACGATCGATGGGCGATGGCGAAACAGCGATGATGGCGATGACGATGACGAAGATGGCGGCGACGACGATGACGATGACGACGATGATGATAATGACGATCGAAAGACGACGTCCATTTTGCCGACGGCCCGTCATGTGGGGCTTAAACAAGCGACATACCGCACGATGCGAACGACCTACCTGCCACGATGTCGTGGCATTCCCGGGCTACTGTGAGCCATAACTGGAATTCTGAATTATGAATTGCATTGCGTGGCCCGAAGAGTGCGCGAGGTGCGAGGAGCGCATTGAGTGTCTGAGGAGCGAGAGCGCTCAGAGAAAGCAGAGGGGGGGGAAGCAGAGACCCACGGGCCACGGGTCTTGTTGCCCGATTCCCTTGTTTTGCCAGCGTAGGTGGCGGGCAGAACAGCAGTGGGTCGCGCCCAGCGTAGATCATCTGCCCTGCCACCATGGCAGGACAGTCTGGCATTCGCCGCCAAGCTTGGCAAGGGGGGGCGCTGCGCACCGCGCAGGAGCCCGCGATCGCGGAGCTGCCGACAGCACGGCCCGCTTAAAAAATAGCCCCCCTGGCAGCAGCTCGGGCGCAGCGATTAATTACTGGCTTGCACTAAGGCAAGCATCAACAACGGCGCCCCGTTCTCATTGAGTCGTCGCCCCTCCGGAGGTCGCGCATCATGTCCGCAAGCATGGTGTCCTTGATCTTCCAGCTGGGCACCCAGTAGTCATCTGGCAACCTCTCCGACGGGTCATCTCCTCCAAAGTACTCCTTCACGGCCTCGGCAAACGTCATCTCAGGTACATCGTCGCCGTGCGCGAGGTCGCGCCAGTAGGCAGCCAATCGGTCGTCGCCCTTGATGGGCCAATGTGCCACCACCTGGTAGGAGAGAAAAAAGGAGGAGGAGGAGGAGGAGGAGGAGAAGGAGGAGGGGGGCCCAGGGCAGGACATCCACTCCCCCTCCGTCTCCCCCATCCTACCTATGGTAGTGGTGGTGGAAATCGGCCCATGAGTCCTCATCTCCGTAGCTGCACTCGTCCCAGGTCCCCATCTTGATGAGCGGGTAGCAGTCAGGCACCCAGCACTTCTTACGCCAGAAGGTCTGCAGGTCGAACCGCATGGGCTTGGGGATGGAGCCAGCGCCGCGTCCGCCGTTGGAGAAGCCCTTGTCCTCGTCCTCGTCCAAGTCCTTGTCCTTATTCAAGTCCAGCATGGCGAGATCAAAATACAACGACTCCAGCCTGGCCACGTCGTCCGAGCCGCCCAGCGTCACCACGTCCGAGCAGGCATCCTCGTCCTTAGCATGGCCCTCCTTCTGGGCAGTCAAAAACCTCGAGAGGGAGGTCCTCTCGGTGTCGTGAGACGCGCCCTTGATGGGCTGTTTTTCCACCACCACTACCATAGGTAGCTCCTCCTCCTCCGAGGGCCGAGGGAGAGGAGGATGAAGACGAGGAGGAGGAGGAGGAGGAGCCAGGAAGAGGAAGAGGAGGCAGAGGAGGAAGAAGACGGAGGAGGAGGAGGAGAAAGAAGAGCTACCCACGGTGGCGGTGGTGGTGGAAAATCGGCCCACGAGTCCGAAGAGGAAGACCGCGATGGCGATCGCGAGCGACATCGCGAGCCCATCATCGAGCTCGCAGCCCACGGCGATGGCCGCGGCGGCGGGGGCTCGAAAGCTAAAGCTTGAGCCTAAATTGCTGCGGGAAGGGCCGCCGTCGTCGCCACGGCTTGATTCGTCGGCCCGGAGAGCCTTCTTCGTCGCCACGGCTTGATTCGCGTCGATATTCTGGTCGGAAGGTCAGCGAGCACCCCAGGACATCCAGGCGCCCCAGAAGGGTCAGAACGCGCCCCAGAAGGGTCAGAACGCACTGGTCGTCGTCGTCGGCATCGTCGTCGGCGTCGTCCGTAGTTGTCCGGCGTCGTCGTCGGCGTCGTCCGTAGTCGTCGTCGTCGTCGCCCGAGAGACTGGACCGCTGGTCGTCGTCGTGGTCGTTGTCGTCGTCGGCGTCGTTGCGCCGGAGAGGCGCCGCCTCGCTGCTGGAGTTCGGCGCGGACCTGATGCCTGCGCCTGCAGGCCTCCCTGCTGCTGCCGCCCCGGGGGGCCCTCCACGCTCATCCGTCTCATCATCCTCCCTCCTCCATCCTCCCTCCAACCTCATCCCTCCCCCAGCCCCCCTCCCCCACTCCTCCACCACAATTGCTCAATATGACGCGGGGCACTGTCTCGTCAAAACGAGGGCCCAACACAGGATTGTTAAGAAGAAATCCCCAGAACGCGCGTGGGAAGGAAGGAGGAGGAGCAGACAGCCGTGTATTCGGCGAGGCATCGGAACCCATCTGGCGCCACTGGCGCGCCACCCAACGCTGCCCCCTGCAGCGGCTTAACGTTAGCTCTAGCACTTCTAGACCGAGGCGAGGTAACTGTGGAAGCTCTCGCTGAGAAGTGAGGCCGATGAGGGAGGCTCTCGCTGAGGAGTGAGGCTGATGAGGGGGACTGAGGATGAGGTCCCACAGCGCAAGCTACAATCTGTTGCCGTACTCAATCGATCTCTGGCACACCCACGTGAGGCTCATCTTGCTTACCCATGAGCCCGACTCGTCGAGCCTCCGCACTTTTTCGTCGAGGGCCACTTCGGTCCTCAGCATATTGACCCTCTTCCTTAGATTTCGATGTCAAGCGCTCAAGAACCGAGAACTTGACGAGGCGGTTCCGCCTCGACCGGCCCTTGCCCGTGAGACCAACAGGGCACGTAGTGTTGACGCCCACCCACATGGCAGAGAACCGAGCAATGAGCAACCCTCCGACAACAAACCGACGGCCTGGACAACAAGGCTTCCAGATATTCATTCCTGAAACTCGCGCAGACACAAGAAGTAAATCGCATGGCCCCCACGGGACCAGGGGCATAATCCACGAGTCGTCGCGCGTTTAATGGCTGTGGGCCTATGGCGCGCAGTTCGGACACGCGTCGCAGTATTGCTCGGTATCCCATATGGGCAGATCTAAGGCACACTATGGCCCAACATTCAAAATGGCCCAAGATGGAGCCAGGTTCAGCATTGCTAATCATGGCGTAAACCCTTCTCCCTGTGTCATCATATTCCTCCGTCTTGTCTCCTCCTTCCTACTACTGCCCCTCCTTCACCTCATCATCCCTTCTCCTCCTCCTTCTCCTCGCTCCTCGTCCTGCCTCCTCCTCATCATTATCCTCGTCCTGCCTCGTCCTCCTCCGTCGTCCTCTTCCTCCCCATCGCCGTCCTCCCCCTCCCTCCCCCCTCGCCCCTCATGACCCCTCCCTTCTTCATCCTCCTCCTCCCTCCCCCCTCCTCCATCCGTCGATGCCTGCGGCGCCCTGCCGCGGCCCGTGCGCGAGCGAAGGAGGAGGGGGGCGGGGAGAGGAGGGGGGGGGAGGTTGGGGAGGAAGAGCGGAAGCAGAAGCAGGAGAAGACGCGCGCCTCGGAGGGATGGAAGATGTAGCACAAGCAGATTGACACAAACGTTTGCGCCAAAGTCCAAGACGGACAAAACGAGGGTCACTACGGGGGGGGGCGCGCACCCCCCCCCCCAGTGACACCTCAAGTCGACTTGGCGCGTCGCTGCCCCCCCCTTGGTGTCAGACCGGGGCAGGCGCAAATGCCTAAAGCAATACGAAAGACACGCCGGGCTATCACCCAGGGGGGGGCAGTGACACGCCAAGTCGACTTGAGCGCCCCCCCCCCCTAGCGACGCAGCCGTGCCCCCGCGCAGAGGCCACGCCGATTGACATAGAAAAGTGCGCGCGGCCAGTGCAGCGCACTGAGCCTGGCTCGCAATGGGCGCGTATACCACAGCGCCTGGAGCCGAATGCGCGCATCAACGGCAACCCCAGCACGGCCCAATGCCCAAACTGTATCGAAGCGAAATTCCCGCGCTACATTCAAGATGTATAACGCCACACCCCCCTTAGGACACTCAAGTTAACTTGACGCGTCACTAGGGCGCAAAGACAAGACAGCAATGATCTGCCAACGACAAGCCCCCGCCCCCCCCTTACGACACTCAAGTCAACTTGACGCGTCACTAGGGCGCGAAGACAAGACAGCGGCGCCATGGCATCGCCCCCCTTAGGACACTCAAGTCAACTTGACGCGTCACTAGGGCGCAAAGACAAGACAGCGGTGCCCTGGCATCGCCCAGCCCCCCCCCCCCCCTTACGACACTCAAGTCAACTTGGCGCGTCACTGGGGCGCAAAGACAAGACAGCGGCGCCCTGGCATCGGACAGCCCCCCCCCCCCCTGGTTACGACACTCAGGTCAACTTGACGCGTCACTAGGGCGCAAAGACAAGACAGCGGTGCCCTGGCATCGCCCAGCCCCCCCTGGTTACGACACCCAAGTCAACTTGACGCGTCACTAGGGCGCAAAGACAAGACAGCGGCGCCCTGGCATCGCCCAGCACCACCTGGTCACGACAAGCAAGTCAACTTGACGTGTCACTGGGGCGCAAAGACAAGACAGCGCTCGCCGGGCACCCCCCGCCCCCCCCAACAAGTTGCGACGTATGGTATGGTATGGTATTGCATGGCATGGTATGGTATGGTAAGTATGGCATGTTATTGCATTGTATTGTACGGTATTGTATGGTAAGTATGGTGCGCTTTGGGGTGGTATGGTGCGTGTGGCATGGTATGACATGCTATGACGTGCAATGGTACGTATGGTACTTGTGGTATTGGTACGGTATGGTATTTACTGGTATGGTATGGTATGGTCTGGTAGTCTACACATGGCATTTATGGTGTGGTTTGGTATGGTATGGTATGGAAAGTATGGTATGATATGGTGTGGCATGGTACATATGGTATGGCATGGGATGGCATGGTATTGGTATGGTATGGTATGGTATAGTACGTACGGTATGGCATGTGGTATGGTAGGAGGAAGGAACGGGAGGCGGGTGGGAAGGAGAGGGCGTTCTGGGAAAACAAGAGCCCCACTCAGCGCGTGGGCACAAGACGTCCCGAGAGGCACCAAGGGTGTTCCGGGGAAAACGAGAAGCCCACTCAGGAAGGACGGCTGAGGAGGCGCCCAAGACGCCCCAAGAGGCCCCCCAAGAGCGGGCCCCAAGAAACCAACATCATCCCAGCAGCCCTCTGGGCGTAAGGGTTTAACGAACTCCCTACCCCCTACCCTGGGCCGGGAGGGGGGGGGGGGAGGTGTCAGAGGGCGCTCCGCGAGCCCAAGATGGCCACCAAGATGGCGCACGATAGCCCAAGATAGCTCAAGATAGCCACCGACATACCTCCAAGAGGCCCCAAGACGGCCCCAAGACTGTTTCAAGTGCCCGCCGAGCCCTCCAAGGACCCCACCAAGAAGCCAAAATGCTTCCAAAACCTAAGGAACATCAGTGTTTTTGGCGTTCCCGCCTTTTCGCTTCCGATGGGCATTTGGATCCTCAAGATGGCCCCAAGATAGCCCAAGAGAGCCCCAAGGGGGGCCCAAGAGGGCACCAAGAGGGCCTCAAGAGCGCCCAAGAGCGTCCCAAGAGCGCCCCAAGAGGGACCCAATACGGCCTTTTTGAGCCTCCGAGTGGGGGGGGGCTGAATTGAAGACCCCCCCTCTTTTGAACCATGGGGCCCAAGACGACCCCAAGAAACCTCTCAGACCCCCCCAAGGAGCCCCAAGAGGGCCCCAAGATGCCCCCAAAAGAACCCCAAGAGGGCCGCAAGAGGACCCCAAGAGAACCCAAAGATGGCTCCAAGGTGCCTCCGAAAACTTCTCACCACAACACCTCAACTTGCCTGGACATCGCTGTTGGATGGGCTGGCGGGGATACGCGAAGCGTCAAGAATTCCTTTCCTGTGACGTTTGAAAAGGGGTTCCTGTCTCGCCTTTTCGGCTTCCCCACACAAGACGACGCAAGAAGCGCCTGGGAATTCCCCCAAGACAACCCAGGATACCCCAAAAACGCCCCCAGACGGCCCAAGCACCAAGACGGCCCAAGAAGCGCCCCAGATGGCCCAAGAGGACCCCAGGACGTCTCCAGATTGCCTCCAAGAAGAGGCCCGCGAGAAGCCAGGCACGGGTGCGGGATGGGCCACAGGCCAGTAGATGAGCACCACACGGGCTTCAAAATTGTTGACCTAAATGGCGTGGCGCAAGTATGGCTCATCCTGCTCCGGGGCAAGATTTATGTAAATCTAATTGGTAGGCAACCTTCAAAAATTGATCGACGTTGTACACGTGTTGCACATTCGCAAAAATATGGCGCTCGCCTTCGGTAATCAGAGCAATTGCCCGCGCAGCCGCCTGGCCCCGGATGGCCTTGTCCTTCTCAGTTGCGAATTTCCCAATATCTGGCAGGAAAGTGAACTGAGAGCTCTCGTGTTTCCGAATGGAAGCGACGATGGCGGGGTGGGCGACCTTAAAGGGCTCAGTGATGAAGACGGCCCGCCTGGTCTTGGTGCACTGCTTGAGTTTCAAACTCACCCCGTGGCGCTCCGTGATAAACGCAGAAGGTTGCATAATCCAAGCACCAACGAAACCAGCAGCAAACGATATCTCCCTGGGGAGTTGTCCTGGATTGTTAGTAATGATTACAATAGCATCTGTGTAGTCATCCACCAGTTCCATACTCATGGTTGCAATGTTTCCCATGATGTCAGGCGTGCGCATGTCACCTTCCGCCCAAATCTTAAGACCCGCCAGCTCATCGCGAGAGGGGTACTCCCGACCCGCAATCTGTTGTAGCGTTTTCTCCCGCCGCTCTCTCGCGACCATGTTCTTGCCAACTTTCTTGAAATATTCATCCGCTTCGTCCATGATGTCTTGCGTGACCTCTTCGGGACGAGCAGTGCCTGCCCTGATAGATTCGAACATCTTGATCTGTTGTTTCTCTAGGTTGAATGCAACTTCGCGCCTGTGTTTGTCTGTCCAGACATCGCCCAAGTCTTCGACACGAGGTGCTTTCGAAGGTGGATAGGCTTTGACCGTATCAGCCACTGATTGCCGCCTCTTCTCCAGGAAGCCCTTCTCCGAGGGCATCGTGGGCAGCTCCAGCTGCTGAGCCGGCCTGGGGGCGCCTGCGGGGCCCCCCCCCACGCGCCCCGACCCACCTCCAAACAAGAAAAACGATTCCCAGGCCCCCCTGGGGGAAGTTCCTCCTGGGGCTTTGCGATCCCAGGTATGTTGTGCGTCCCCAGGAACCCGAAAGCGCACCGTTGAATACGGAAAGCGAACGCAAACATTCGAAGCTCACCAGACCCCACTTGTTGGAGGAAGAGAAGGAGCAGGTGGAGGAGGAAGTAGCAAGGAGGAGAGGGAGGAGGATGATGAGGAGGACAAGGAGGATGAGGAGGGCATTCCGCGGAACTGTCTTGGAGCCGTCTTGGGACTTCTTGTAGAGTTTCAAAACCTTTGGTTGGGGCCTCTGAAAGTTTGTTGGACATCCTCATCCTGGGCATCTGACCCCCCCCACACACACACACACACACACACGCGCACACACACACACACACACACACACACACACACACACACACACACACGCACACACACACACACACACACACACGCACGAGCATTTTCTCGAGGAGGGGCCCAGCGTGAAGATCTACAGTGCGATCTACGGTGTAGATCTGCAAATTCCAATTCTCTCCTTAGCCACCACCAGAGACAATATTTCGGCCGCCCCGGGGGGTTCTTGGAGCCTCTTGGGCCACCAGAGGCACGCTTTGGGACCTCTGAGAGCCACCTTGAATCAATATTGGCCCCTATTCGCCCTCCCGCTCCCGCCCCCCCTTCCCTTTCTCCCCCCTCGTCCCTGTCATCATATGCCTCATCCCCATTTCCCTCATCATCATCCTCCTCCGCCTTGTGCTTTCCATTACCACGATCCTCCTCATCATCGCCCTGGGCCTTTATCGGACCTGGCCCCGGTGGGATCCCTCGCGGACTTGTAGAGTTCCTTCCACGTGTCCCTGGCGCGCCCCAAGACAACGTCATCGAACTGCGGCTCGCTCAACAACACGACAACTGTGTCCGACTCGACTGTCTCAGCAGCGTTGAGACGCTGATCGCCAAGAAAAGATTGAATTCTGCTGAAATTGTGCTCGATGATGGAATCGCTGGACGTGAAGCAACTGTACACCACGAGCGCCATCTCCAAATTCGAGGCCACGTGCCTTTTCCGGGAAGCCGCTGAGCTCGTCGAGTGCAGGGCCCACCGCCAGGCCTCCAAGTTCGAGGACTTCTTCTGCAGGAAATGGCTGCGGGCAAACCGTCCCAAATCGAAATACTCAGAGATCAGACCTTCCAAAGATAAACCGATGCTGCTTGCGATTCGACCAAGCGACTCGTCGAAGTGCTTGGGGCGCCCGTGGCGCCGAAGAAAGTCTTGCGCTGTTTGGTCAACCCAGCTGTTGAGGTCAAAGCAGCAGAAGGACGAGATAATCTCAAAATCTGGGTGTTCGGCCCGCACGACCTGAGGCCAGGAGAATTGAACTGCCCAATGTGACAACGACCACGCGGGTTGAGGTTGGGCGAGGGGGCCTATCGCGCCCGATTGGCGCTGGAACCCCGAGATGGCCCGAAACGGGCCCAGGGGAACCCCACAGAAGATTCCACGAGGGCTCGAATGCGACCCTGGGAGCGCCCAAGCCGCCCGAATTGCTTTCCCAAAGGGCCCCAATATGCGATTGTTCGACTTCCACAATTACGCCACCCAACAGCGCCTCCAAGGCTGCAAACACATGCTCGAGAGAACCCCAAGAAGGCTTCAACAACAGCTCCGAAAATGACACCAACGCATTCCCGAGGGAGCCCAAGAACGCCCAGAGAAGGCCCCAAGAGGTGCCTGTTCAAGTCCACGCCCTCCACGATGGCTCCCAGAAGGCCTCATGCACCCCAGAAGGGCGCCAGAGCGAAAACTCCGTAACAACCTGTGCGGTTGAATCGCCACCGTCGTCATCACCATCGCATTATATTGCATCCTCCTCCTCCGTCCCCCGCCTTGTCGTCCTCGTCATCCTCCTTATCATCCTCCTCTGCGCCCTCCTCCTCCTGCTCCCGCTTCTCCTTCTCCTCGTCGTCTTCCTCCTCCTTATCCTCCTCATCCTCCTTCTCCTCCTTCTCTCCCTCCCGCCCCATCATCCTCCTTATCCTCTACCCTCCTTCCTACCTAGGGTCCGTGCGCATCCCCATGGTTCCACTCAGGCTGGTTCTCTACTGGCATCCCCAGCTCTCTGTTCCACTGCATGCCCCTACTGGCCATGGCAACTCGCCCAGGCGTAGCTTTGGGATGGTTGGTGGGGATACGCGCAGCGCCTGGATTTCGGAGGGAGGTGAATATCTCGAACCACACTCGGCGTGCCAACCTATTCAAATCAAACGGGGAGTCGACGGTCGCCCCCCAAAAAAACTGGAAATGACAAAATTGCACACGTAGGTATTCGTTGGCCCTGCCAGACCTGGACGGCCAAGTGCGCCCACGCGGTCATGCGCCGGAGAACGCGGTCCCTGAGTGCTGCCGTGACTGCCCTGGGCCCGCCGACAGAGCGCAATTCGCCATCAGCCATAAAATGCGTAGCGTCCTGCAAGAACTTCAAGCACACCTGGGTGCGCCCCTCCACGGTGAAAACATGCCCATCGCAAAACAGCTTGTGGACTACCTCTGTGAAGTCGGCGACCTGTTTGCATACTAGCGCTGAATCCGGCTCTGGCGTGTCGAAGAACCTGATCAGGCACATGCACTCATCTGCCGCGTCTGCTAGCATCGCCGCCTGCAGCATCAACTCCTCGTCGATGTTGATCAGGCATGACTTGGCGAATCGAAAAGCCCTGTCGCCAATGTCCTGCCGCTCCACAACCACCCGCGCGAGGAACGAAAAGCACGCCTCCCAGTCGAGACAGATTCTGGAAAGGGGTGTGCACATGGACTCAAATCTGTGCTTGGCCGCCCTCATGTTGGAAAACGTGGAGCTCACAACCTTTGTTGACGATTTGCGGGAGCACTCAGTATAGATGGCTCGGAGGTCGCCCGAATGCTGAATCAGCTGCGCTATGCTCGAAGATTCCGTGATGAGGCAGTTGGCGACGAAAGACAAGTAGGTGTCGCACGCCCATGGCCTTTGCAATATCCGACGGCTGGCGTGCGCCTTGTCGCGGATGATGAACTTCAGGTTGGGCGCAAAAGCCTCTTGACCAATCCTCTGCGAGATAACAGACTGGTTTGACATCATGTTTTCCGCCGAAGCCACCTCGTTCGATGCCGCATCGACCGTCAATGCATGCACGCTGATGCGCATGTGGTTGTACAAGTCCTCATCGTATTGTATATTGGCGTCTTTTGGGTCGATGTATGGAGCTCCAAAGTTCTTAGTAGCGAACTGCTTGAACAGCTCATCCGTCGCACTTGAAATGTTGGTCGACGTGCCCTTGGTGACCTTCGGCTGGCCCATGACCCCGATGCGGTGGTTTGCCATCGCATCTGCACAGCGGAAACGAACTAGCAGTCGCGAGTGGCGTTCGTCCCGAAGTATGTTCACGCTGACTGCCTCCTTCAGCCACGCCCTGTGCATTCTCTTGTTTCCCTCAGCCAAACAGAAGATCATCTTTTTGCATTTGCGGCATGTGCCGACCGCAGGCACGCCCTTGCTGATGGCGCCACCGTCTCGCATCCACTTCAAGAGCGCCTGGAATTGCTCGCTTGATGGGCTCGCGTTCTCTGGGATGCGGCCGACTCCGGACGGGGCAGACTCGCCGATCAACGAATACAAGAGGACCCCAACTGCGGCCACGTGGGCGTCGGACGTCTCGTGCACCTTCAAACGGCACGGGCGGAGCTGCGAAGTCGTCTTGCAAGAAAAGGTCGCAAAGATATCCTTATTGCACGCTGGCGCCAGCTCCGCGCAAATCGAACACCCAAATTGAAACTCCTCATCCTCGACTTTATAACATAGCCATTGCTCACCGAGGATTTTCTCTGGCAACCTACTGATGACATCTGGGCCGAACTCGTTCACGACATTTGGACTCACCAAGGGCCGGCTGCCTACATGGCTTGCGAAGAGCCCGCAAGGGCAAGGCGCCGGGTTAGAGTGCTCGCACACGCCGCACACGCCCATGAGCGCAAATGCTACATAACGGATGAAGGGGGCGAGGAAGTATGGATATGGATGAGGAGGAGGAGGAGGAGGACATGGAGGAAGTAGAGGGGGATGATGACGAGGGGGGGGGGGCGGGGGGAGAGGGGCAGGAAGAGGAAGATGAGGAAGAGCCCCTGCGGGCCCTCCGTGACGCCTTGTCGCGTTCTGGTTTCGGGCGCCGCGTCCAGCGTTCAATCTTGAACGATCTCCGCACTTGGAGGCCCCGAGTTCCCGAAGGCTGGCCCCCGGAGGCCCCGCGTTTCGAAACAAGCCCCTCGAGCGTAGCCTTGAGCGCCCGCGCCAGGCATGGCGGCCCCTCTCTTGCTCCTGCTCCTGCTCCGCCTCATCCTCCTCTTCCTCCTCCTCCAACTCCTCCTCCTCCGCCTCCTCCGCCTCCTCCCCCTCCTCATCCTTCTCCTCCTCCTCCTCCGCCTCCTCCTCAGCCTCGCCCATCTCTTATTCCCCCCCCCCGCCGACGGCGGCCGGCGGCCTCGCCGCCGCCGCCGCCGCCGACGAGCCGGCGGCCCCGCGAGCAGGGCGGAGTGCACGCGGCAAGCGCGTCCGACCAGAAATCGGCGGGCCCGATCGCGCTGCCGCAACTCCGAGAGGAGGAAGACGAGGGGATGGAGGATGAGGAAGAGGATGAGGAGGAGGACGAGGAGGAGGAGGAGAGGTAAGGGTAGGAGGCGGAGGACGAGGAAGAGGGGGGAACAGCGGACGGACAGACGGAGTTGGGGGAAGGAAGTGGGAGGACAGAGGGAAGGGGGGAGTGCGATGGGGGAGTGAGGAGGGAAAATGGATAGATAGGCACGATGGGGCCAGGACCAAGGGAACTTGTTGCACAGGACGCAGCGCGGGAGCCAGCTGCGCCACATCTGCACACGGGGCAAGAGGCGGAGCAGGATGCGAAGAAGGAGGAATGCACGTAGACAGATTCTGGATCCTCTCCCCTCTCTCCTGTATCCTCCCTTCTCTCTCTACTGCCCCATCTCATCCGTCATGCATCCTCAATCTAATGTCTCTCCAATCGGAGAAGACAACGCGCGGGGCAGCGGCCTAAGGTTGCATGTAGCGCTCATCGACGTCGCGGGTCACGTCGATTCTGGCTGCCTTCGCCTTCAGAATGTTGAACTCAGCTGTCGTCACCATATCAGCAGCCAGCAATAGATCTGGAAGAAGGGAAGCCACGACCGTGAGCGTCATGGCGTTGCCCATGAGCCCGCCGTATTGCGTCGGTGAGATGCCGAGCTGCTTCCACGGGATGAGGCCTGCGGGGAAGCCCTGGATGCGGCCGAGCTCATCGGGGTCCAAATGCCCGCCCTTGCACGTGCACCAGTAACCCAGCCTGCCAGCCTCCCGATGACATATCGTCGGAGCAATCCCCACCTGACTCACAGACCGATAAGAAGAGGTACCTGTCTCTATGATGATCGGCGCAAGGAAAGGATTGTAGCCCTCCGCAAGGCGCTTCTCCAAGTGTTTCTGCACGTTCTCGCAAGCCAGCTGCCCGTCCACCTCCGGGGTCGGGAGCATCCTGAACACGTCCGGGGGGAGCTTCGCGACGCAGTCGGCCAGAGCAGGGGGCTCGCGGGTGTCAGGCACCATCATCTTCCAATGAATGTTCCGACAGTCCAGGATGCCTGCAAGGTATACTCGGCCCCTGCTCTGCGGAGCTCCGAACATATTACTGGCAAGGATGTTCCAGCCGACTGTATATCCCGCATCTGTACGCATGCCCCCTCAAAGGAGAAGCAGCACACGGTTTGATTGCTGCCCAATTCGGCTGGCCTGCGAACGTGAAATCGCTGTGCTGATGTTGCTGGTGCTGCTGCGTTTTGGTGTGATGCATTATGATGCGCTGCGTGCTGCTGCGTTGCAAGTTGAGGGCACATCCGCGACGCGCCCTGGGACGCAACGGCGGCTATCTTGGCGCTAAGCCGGTCATATGAGAGTTTTGATCAAGAAGTCCCAATCCGCCACCGCGCATTGCGCACGATCATGCGCGCAAAGGATAGCCAGCAGCTGCCTGGAACTATTGTTTTTGAAATCTTATAGAAACCCCCTCCTCCTTCTCCTCATTCTCCTCTTCCTCCTCCTCATCGCCCCTCCCCCTCTCCGCCTGAAGGTCGGCCCTGGATCTCTCCTGGAGCAGATCGCCATCGTCGTCAACATCATTCAGCACTACCATTGTCATCATCCCTGTCATCGCCACCATCGTCATCGCCATCGTCATCTCGCCCATCATCATCATCATCCTCATCGCCATCGCAACCGCCATCCAGATTATCATCATCGTTCGAAAGCCCTCCAAGGTACTGGGTTGGCACGCCGGCGGCAATTGCATGAGGCATTTGCATACTCCTCGTGTTTGGACTGCGTGATGTTCTTGACCTGCTCCATGAGGATGAGCTTCGGCTTGTGATGAATGATGTACGCGAGCGAATAGGTGACCAGCTGCCCGTCCAGAACGTTTGCCCCTTCCTGGTCCCCATTGTTACTGAACGTCACGCACGGGGGGCTGCACGCGTAGACATCGCAGGGGGGGGACTTCGTGACATCTCGCTGCACAAACTTGTTCACGACAGGGCAGCCGAGGTATCTCGATATCTTCTGGCTGCAGTGCTGGAGGTCTGAGCTGAAGCGGTGGTCGAAACGAACGCCTAAGAGCTTCAGGGCCCAGATTGGAGTCTCGAGGCCCGAAAAGTCCGTACCCACTCGCAACTTCGCATATTTCGTGAGCGTCATGGTGGGATTCCGAATGGCGGGGCACAGGTGCGAGTTCACTGTCTCCACCACGACCCTGCTGAGGGGTAGTAGGACGGGGGGGGGGGGAGGCAAGGGGGGAGTACACAGGATGAGGAGAATGAGGAGGAAGGACACGCGAAGGAAAATGAGGCAGGAGAAAGGAGAGGGAGGTGGGAAAGGATGGCTTCGTCACGCCCGCTGCTGGCCTCGGACTCGGACAAGGGGTATTCGCCGACGCCGCGACAGCAGCTGGTTTTTTCTTGATCACGGCCTTCTTCGCACCTGGTGTTTTCTTGGCCACGGCCTTCTTCTGCGCAGCTGGCGTCGGTCCGATGGCGTCGCACAACGAGGGGCCGAGCATCGCCAGATCTAACCAGGTGTCAGACCGTAAAAAAAGGTATGATACCAAATTGCGCTCGAACCGCTGAGTAGAGAGGATGGAGGGTATGAGTCCCACCATCCCTCTCTGGGTGTAGGTGGTTGAACGAGTTTTGTCTTCTCTCTTTCCACAGCCCCTCCAACCCCTGGTTCACCCCTCCCCCTACCCTCCCCCCTTGGGCCTGGGAGGGGCGCCCTGCGACCAGATCGAGGCCCCAGGGCGACTTCAGAGGCCCCTGGATGGCCCAAGACGGCCCCAAGATGGCCTTAGAGACCCCAGGATGGCATCCAAGATGGATCCAGATAGCTCAAGATGGCTCAAGATCGCCTCCGACATACATCCAAGAGGGGCCAAGACAGCCACAAGATGGTTTCAAGTACCCGCCGAGCCTTCCAAGGACCCACCCAAGGGGCCAAAATGGCTCCACAACTGCAAGAAAATCAATGTTGCTGTCGTTCTCGCCTTTTCGCTTCCGATGGGACTGGGAAGCCCCAAGACGGCCAAACAAATTGCCGAAGAGAGCCCCAAGAGGGGCCCAACAGGGACCCAAGAGAGCCCCAAGAGCACCCCAGAGCGCCCTAAGAGGGCCCAAGACTCCCATTTTGAGCCTCCGATGGGGGAGGACCTGAATGGGGCCCAAGACGGCCCCAAGAGACCCCCCCCCCCACCCAAAGAGCCCCAAGAGGGCGCCAAAAGAGCCCCAGAGGGGGCTCCGAGAGAGCAACACTATGACTCCAAGAGACCTCCGAGAACCCTCTCGCAACAACACCTCAACTCGCTTGGGCATCGTTGTTGGATGGGCCGGGGGGGGGGGCGGAGGTCGCTTCCTCTCCCAACCCTTCCTCCCCGTCTTCGGGGGGGAGGTTGATTAACCCCTCGCCCCCCTTTTCACCTGCCCTCCTCCTTCACTCCCCTCCCTAATAATTTCCTTCTCCCCCCCTCCAAGATTTCTCTCATTCCACCTTCCCTCCATTTCCCTGTCCTCGCCCATCCCTCTTTCAACCCTTCCGTCGCCTCGATTTCTGATGCCCGTTTCTCCGTCCTGTCCTCCTCCCCCCATTCCCCGCTTCCGTCTTTCATTTCCTCCTACCCTCTTCCCCCGCCCCCCTCCCCCCCCTCGACTCTGACCACCTTTTTCCCGCCGGCGCCGCGGCCCCGCGCCTGGAGGCTCGGGGCCTCGACGAGGAGGGCGACCGCGGGGGCCTCTCCCTGCGCCGCCCCGCGCGCGCCGCTCCCGGGGGAGGGGGGGGGGGGCGAGGAGGAAGGGGGAGAAGGGCAGGGGGAGAAGGGCAGGGGGCAGAAGGGAGCAGCAGCAGCAGCAACAGCAGCAGCAGCAGTAGCAGTAGCAGTAGAGACGATGATAGTCGCAATAGAAGTGTCAATATCATCTACTTGCCTTCGGCATCTTCCGCCATCGCGCCTGGGCTGTGGGTATGAGGCTTGCGCGGTGGGCGCTGGGATCTCTTGGGCGGCTTTTCGCGGGCCTCTTGGAGGCTGTTTCGAATCCTCTTAGGGGCAGTTCGGGGCCTCTTGGGGCATCTTTAGTCGGTGTAGTAGTAGTGGTAGTAGTAGTCGTAGTAGTAGTAGTCGTAGTAGTAGTAGTAGTACTAGTAAATAGTTGTAGTAGTAGTCGTAGTAGTAGTAATAGTAGTAGTAGGAGGAGGAGTAGTAGTAAGAGTAGTAGTAGTAGTAGTAGTAGTAGTAGTAGTAGTAGTAGTAGTAGTAGTAGTAGTAGTAGTAGTAATAGTAGAAGTAGTAGTAGTAGTAGTAGTCGTAGTAGTAGTAGTAGTAGTAGTAGTCGTCGTAGTAGTAGTATTCGTAGTAGTAGTCGTAGTAGTAGTAGTAGTAGTAGTAG